ATACCTTGGATATATTGCAGGTTCTCTTCCAGACCACCACAGTAAAGCAAATATCACAATGAAGCAAATCACACAAATTTTCTGGTTTTCTAATTGCAAATAAAAGTTATGTTTACACTATACTGTAGTCTCTTATGTGTGCAATAACATTATGTCTAAAAAAACATGGAGAAACCTTAATTAAAAAAATACTTTATTGCTAAAAAATGCTGACCAGCATCTGAGCCTTCAGCGACTCACAATCTCTTTGTTGGTGGAGTTTGATGTTGATGGCTGCTGACTGATCAGGGTGGTGGCTGCTGAAGGTTGGGGTGTCTGTGGCAATTTCTTAAAATAAGACAACAGTGAAGTTTAGTGCATCGGCTTTCTTTTCCTTTCACGATTTCTCTATAGCATGTAATGCTGTTTGATAGCATTTTACCCACACTTCTTTCAAAATTGGTGTCAATCCTCTCAAGCCCTGTCACTGCTTTATCAATTAAGTTTTTGTAATGTCCTTTGTTGTCATTTCAACAATCTTCACAGCATATTCACCAAGAGTAGATTCCATTTCAAGAAACCACTTTGTCTGCTCATCCATAGAAGCAACTCCTCATCCATTCAAGTTTTATCATAAATTGTAGCAATTCAGTCCCATCTCCAGGCTCCACTTCTAATTCGAGTTCTTTTGCTGTTTCCACCACATCTGCGGTTACTTCTTCCACTTAGGTCTTGAATCCCTCAAGGTCATCCATGATGGTTGGAATCAACTTCTTCCAAACTCCTGTTAATGTTGATATTTTGACCTCTTCCCATGAGGCACAAATGTTCTTCATTTTCCAGAAAGTTTTCAATTGCCTAGATCCATCAGAGGAATCACTATCTACGGCAGCTACAGCCTTACAAAATGTATTTCTTAGGGACTTCCCTGGTGGTCCAGTGGTTAAGATCCCACGCTCCCAATGCAGGGGGCCCAGGTTCGATCCCTGGTCAGGGAACTACATCCCGCATGCTGCAACTAAGAACTGGTGCAGCCAAACAAACAAACAAACAAATAAATATTTAAAAACAAAGAAACCAAAATATATTTCTTAAATAATGAGACTTGTAAGTCAAAATCACTCCTTGGTCTATGGGCTGCAGAGTGGACATTGTGCTAGCTGGCATGAAAACAACATTAATCTCCTTGTACACTTCCATCAGAGCTCTTGGCTGACCAAGTGCATTGTCAATGAGCAGTAATATTTTGAAAGGAATCTTTTTTTTCTGAGCAGTAGGTCTCAACTGTAGGTTGAAAATATTCAGTAAACCATATTGTAAACAGAAGTGCTGTCATCCAGGCTTTGTCATTCCATTTAATAGAGCACAGGCAGAAAAGGTTTGGCATATAATTCTTAAGAGCCATAGGATTTTTGGAATGGTAAATGAACACTGGCTTTAAATTAAAGACACCAGACGCATTAGCCCTTAACAAGACAGTCAGCCTGTCCTTCGAAGCTTTGAAGCCAGGCATTGATTTCTCTCTGGCTTCTCTCTAGCTATGAAAGTCCTAGGTGGCATCTTCTTCCAGTAGAAAGCTGTTTCATCTACGTTGAAAATTTGTTGTTTAGTGTAGCCACCATCATTAATGATCTCAGCTAAATCATCTGGATAACTTGCTGCAGCTTCTGCACCAGCACTTGCTGCTTCACCTTGTACTTTTATGTTATGAAGATGGCTTCTTTCCTTAAACCTCATGAACCTCTGCTAGCTTCAGACTTTTCTTCTGCAGTTACCTCACCTCTCTCAACCTTCACAGAATTGAAGAGTTGTAAGGGCCTTGCTCCAGAATAGGCTCTGGCTTAAGGGAATGTTGTCATTGGTTAGATCATCTATCTATGCCACTAAAACTTTCTCCATATCATCAATAAGGCTGTTTCACTTTCTTATCATTCATGTGTTCCTTGGGGTAGCACTTATAATTTCCTTCAATAACTCTTCCTCTGCATTCACAACTTGGCTAAGTGGTGTAAGAGGCCTAGCTTTTGGCCTATGAAGGCTTTCAACATGCCTTCCTCACTAAGCTTAATCATTTCCAGCTTTTGATTTAAAGTGAGAGACATGGGACCCTTCCTTTCACTTGAACACTTAGAGGCCACTGTAAAGTTATTAACTGGCCTAATTTCAATATTGTTATGTCTCAGGGAATAGGGAGACGGGGAACAGTCAGTCAGTGGAGCAGTCAAACACACACATTTATCAATTAAGTTCTCTTTCTTACATGGGTGTGATTCGTGGTGCCCCAAAACAATTACAATAGTTACATCAAAGATACTGATTGCAGATCACCATAACAAATATAATAATAAGGAAAAGGAGTCTCTCATAAAGTAATGAGCTTTATGAGAGTCACTGGCAGTATCTATCCAAAAAATGGCATAGAATGGATTCCTGTAGGTAGAATTAGTCATAAAATTATCATTCCAAGAAAAAATTTAAATGTTGTACAACTAAAAAATTTTTCAATAAGATGCTTCCCCCAAATTTAATTTGCAAAATGTGAATGAACTATCTTCAAGTGGATCAATTTCAATTTTTAGTGGCCTAGAATTCCATCATAATTATAACTGTGATGATGAATAATTCTAAATGGAAATATCTATCCAAAAAGGATTGTTTATCATCAACTGTAATGCATTTTCATTTGGTACATAATAGAGAACTTGAAATACAAGCAACCCTAAATATAAGCAATAAAGCTATCAAGAAAGAACCCTCTAATAGGTTGAAAAGCAGAAGATAACCTGTGGCCTGTGAAGCTATGACTACATCAACTACTCATTCTTTGCGTGGAGAATATATTAAAGTGAATTAAACTCAGTTTCTTTATTTTGAAGTTTATGTTCTTCAAGATTAGTATCTAGTTTATTCACTTTCTAAAAGCAAAGAAAACTTAAAGAAAGAACTAACTTACTATATAACCAGAATACTGTGTTTTTCTGTTTATTTATATTCTAAATTTTTTTAGGGGGTAAAATAGTACTTTTACTTTTTAACAAGTGACACTTTCTTCAAAAATAATTATTTACGTAGTACCTAAGCTATAAAACATGAGTAAGCTGCTCAAGCAGTTTAAATTTTCACTCTGGCAGGAAACATATATGTAATTTGTACATCATCAGATCCCTTCATTTTCTCTAATCACGTTTTGAAAATTACTTTTCTAGAGGAATTTCCTTTATTAAGAAAGCAATGCTGAGCAAAAATATCAAGCGTACCACTGGGACACTATTTCTAAAACATAAAAAACTAATGGCCTTGAAATGTGTAATACTGACAAGTAAAAATATAGACAATGAAGATGGGAGTATAAATAGAAAGATTCTGCCCATGTTCTCCTGTAAAATATCTTCCTGACAGTTTTTAGGCATATTCTAAATAGGCTAACTATATAATTTATTATCTAAACTGGAACACTTTTGAAGTGAAAGAGGACACTATTAGTCATTACAAAATGAATACTGGCCTGGTGACCTGGGGCACATGGTCACCCTAATTATCAATCAACGCTATGCAGGCAACTCCCAGACCATGCAACAATATGTGGATTCTAATTACCAGTCTGATTAACCATCTAGTTTTGAGGAACACAACTTCAGAGATGCAGGCACAATTCAGAGACACTCGAAGACCCACAGGAATCACTAGAGAGTCAGTAAGGTGGGAGACCCGTATAAGTTTAAAGGTCTGGAGAAGGGGAATTCAATAAAGGGATAAGTAAGTAAAATATTCTAAAAACTTCGTCATTTTCTCTGATGTAGAATTCATTTGGGATCCTACTGTCTTCACTTTTACTGTCTATCACCACCAAGCTTTCACCATAAAGCTTAAATAAAATTGCACGTGATTTGTCAATTTAACTTGTATTAGATTTAAAACTCAAGACTATTAATCTTTGGGGGTAGGGACATTACCATTCAATTCCAAGCATCCAGCGCCTGGCTCTCAGTAAATGTTTACTGAATGAATTTCTTTGAACTTAATATTCTGAGTATTAAAATTTATGATATTAGAACCTTAATTGAAGATAGTAGATTTTAAAAATTCAACTCAACAAGCTAACCTGTTATTTTCTAGTGCAAAACCTATCAGGAAACTGTATGTTTGGATTTGCTTTAAAATAATCCTGCAGGGCCAGAGAGGGGGATAAAAGATGAAACAAAACTGCCAGATGTTAATAATTATTGAAACTAACTGATGGGTGTGGGTGTGGGGGGATCTCCATCTCTGTGTATAACTGAAAATCTCCATATTAAAAGCGTTTTGTTTGTTTTTTTTTTTAAAAAGCCCATCTGAAACCAACTCAACATCCTGCATTTATCAAACACAAACCATTTTCTTTTCTTTGAAAGTATCACTGTCAAAATTCTTATCACATTTATGTCTAAGGACAGTATACCTGTAGCATTAGGTGCAGATTAGTCACTTTCTGTGCGGACCAGCCTGAATTTTCATCTCCAACTTCAAACCAAGGTTTCATACGCTGAATATATGAGCCTTCTTTAAAAAAATTTTGATTGGAATTGTTGTTTTTTAACAGGTTTTGAAGCAAAATCAGACAGTCTTCCACTACTATACCTGGGGAAAGAATGTAGAATGGAATGTTGAGGCTGATAAAACCTGAAGGAAAATTCAATCCTCAAACATTTCAAAAGAAAACTCTCAGTGCTCAGCATCTCTTCAGTATGCACGGCAGTGAGCCTGCTCCTTCTCAGGTCTCCCAGTGATCTCCTGACTTCTATTTTCAACTATCCACTCACCTCAGTAACTCACATTTTTTCTTCAAATCCAGCTTACACATCATTTCTTCAGGAATTATTAGCAAGATCCAGTGAGTAGGTTAGGATCACCAGCTATATGCTCTCACAGTAGCCTGCCCCTTTTATAATTATGCAGTATCTGTCTTCACTAGATTATAATTCATGAAGACAGGAATTTGGGAATGTCCTACTTACCTCTCTGTATCCTCAGCAGATATAGAGACAAGATCCCACATGCCACATGGTGCGGCCAAAATAAAAAAATAATAATAAAATAAACACCAATGGGAAAGATAAGCAGGAATTAGTCACATGAAGTGGGTGGGATGCAGAAAAGCATTCCAAGAAGAAAGTAAAATGGCTTTTAAAAAAACGTCTACATTTCGGGACTTCCCTGGTGGTCCAGTGGTTAAGACTCTGCGCTCCCACCGCAGGGGGCGCAGGTTTGATGAGATCCCGCATGCCACGTGGTGAGGCCAAAAAAAAAAAAAAGAGAGAGAGACAAGATATCAGATGTGTACGTGGTAGGTCACTACTAAATAGTTGTTGAATGAATCAATCATATATTATTTAATCGCTAAGAAGCACTTGACATTGCTGTCTTTATGCCTCTTCCTTGAAACTTCCTCTTCTTTTGGTTTCTAAAACACTAACGACTCCCTCCTGGTTCTCCTTACAGATATCTGGCCACTCCTCAGGCTTCCTAACCAATGAGCTCTGTTTCCTCTGCAAAGCATATGAAAAAAAGAGGCTGGATGCTCACAGTGAGTAGGTTCCTCTGTGTAGTACATGCACACTTCTGCTCCTACTAGTTAAACTGCACGATTATAAGAATTAATTGCGGGGCTTCCCTGGTGGCGCAGTGGCTGAGAGTCCACCTGCCGAAGCGCAGGGGACACGGGTTCGTGCCCCCGTCCAGGAAGATCCCACATGCCGCGGAGCGGCTAGGCCCGTGAACCATGGTCGCTGAGCCTGCGTGTCCGGAGCCTGTGCTCCACAATGGGAGAGGCCCGCGTACCGCAAAAAAAAAAAAAAAAAAAAAGAATTAATTGCTTTTAAAAAATGAACAAATTTTAGGGAATTCCCTGGTGGTCCAGTGGTTAGGGCTCTGCGTTTTCACTGCTGAGGGCCTGGGTTCAATCCCTGGTTGGGGAACTAAACTAAGATCCCACAAGCCGTGCGGCAGGGTCAAAACCAAACCAAAACAACAACAACAACAACAACAACAACAAAAACTCCAAAAAACAGACTTGATTTTTCAGAGCAGCTTCAGGATACAGAAAAACCGAGCAACAAATAAAGGGAATTCCCATATACTCTCTCCGTGTCAGTTTCCACTGCTATTACCACTTAGCATTAGTGTGGTACATTTGTTAAACTGATGAATGAATATTGATACATTATTAACTCATGGTCATAGTTCACATTAGGGTTCACTCTTTGTGTTGTAAATTCTATGGATTTCAACATATGTATAATTTCATGTACCCACGGTTACAGTATCATACAGAATAGTTTCACTGCTCTAAAAATCCTGTGTTCCACCTATTCATTCCTCTTTCTTCCTACCCCCGAATCCCTGGCAACCACTGGTCTTTTTACTGTCTCTTTATGGTTTTGTCTTTTCTGAATGTCATATACTTGGAATCATAAAGTATGTAGCCTCTCCAGACTGTCTTATTTCACTTAGCAATATGCATTTAAGGTTCCTCCAGGACTTTTCATGGCTTGAAAACTTTTTAATCGTTGAATAATATTCCATTGTCTGAATGTACCACAGTTTGTTTATCCATTCACCTACCAGAGGACATCTTGGTTGCTTCCAAGGTTTGGCAATTATGAATAAAGCTGCCATAAATATTCACGTGCAGGATTTGCGTAGATATAAGTTTTCTACTCATTTGGGTAAATACCAAGGAGTGTGATTGCTGGACTGTATGTTAAACTTAGTAAGAAACCACCAAACGGTCTTCCAAAATGGTTGTATCATTTTGCATTCCCATCAGCAATACATGAGAGTTCTATACCCTTGCTTACTTTTGGTGTTGTCAGTGTTCTGGATTTTTGCCTAACAGGTGTATAGTGATGTCTCATTGTTTTAGTTTGCATTTCCCTAATGACATATGATGTTTGAGTGTCTTTTCATATGCTATATACCATCTATATATTTTCTTTGGTGATACGTCTGCTCAGATCTTTTGTTCATTTTTTAATTGGGTTGTTCCTTTACTTCTTATTGAACTTTAAGAGTTCTCTGTACATTCTGGATACAAGTCCTTTTCCAGATGTGTTTTGCAAATCTTTTCTTTCAGTCTGTGGCTTATCTTTGCATTCTCTCAGCAGTGTCTTTTGCAGACTAAATTTTCAATTTAGTGAAGTCCCACTTAACCATTTTCTCTTTCATCTAAGAGTAAATTACTTTTACTCACGGAGGCTCAGGCCATCTGGCTGTACCATCTACTACCAGTCCTCACTGCAGTTTTGTAACAAATTCATGGTCACTACTCCTTGTTCACTGCACCAGCACCTCACTCAGAGTCTTCTTTCTATCTCCATGTTCTGCTGTCACTCTTGATTTCAATTTCAATGACAACCGATCTAATCTGGACCCCTCAGTTCCTTGGCCTCATCTTCAGAGATAATCCTTACTCTATTCCTAAAACCTCCCATCTTTCCAGCTCAAGTATTCTCAATATATCTGTTCTGTGGCTTCCCTGAGACTTTCAACCCATCAACAAGTCTTCTTTCTTCTTTTTTTTTGTTTTTGTTTTTGCGGTACACGGGCCTCTCACTGCTGTGGCCTCTCCCGTTGCGGACCACAGACTCCGGACGCGCAGGCCCAGCGGCCATGGCTCACGGGCCAAGCCGCTCCGCGGCACGTGGGATCCTCCCGGACCAGGGCACGAACCCGCGTCCCCTGCATTGGCAGGCAGACTCTCAACCACTGCGCCACCAGGGAAGCCCCATTTCTTCTTTTTAAAAACCCTTCTGTCTTTACTTCCTTCCCTATCTAGCTTAGCACATATAGGTCTTCATTTCTTCCACCCTACAGATAATTTGCTGAGCTCTCTTGTCTCACTATCTTTTCATAGCACCTGCCTGGAAAGGCACTATCCTGTCAGAAACTGCCTGCCTGGCTTTTTTTCAATATCTGTACCTAGACAGCTGAGTACTGGGGGAGACAGGGGATCACATAATCAAGTAGCCTGCACTGCTATGAAATCATGGTGAACACCCTCAATGGGGCCTTTATCCTTGCCTGGAAATCTTCCTAATTACAATAGTCAACAAGCTCTCCTATCCTCCAAAAGACTATTTTCAGTCTTCGCCATGATTCTCAACTGTGTCCTCCTCTTTCACTCTCAGCATATGCCTCTGCCTTCAACTCAACTCCCTGTCACCAAATGTGAAAAAGGACTTGCATCTTCACCTGTGCTATCCCCTGTTATGATGGAAGATGAGCTTCTTCTTCTCCTATCTTAAAACAGCCAGTTCCTACCTCTCCTGTGGATTCTAATAACTTCCTCCTTTTTCAGGTATTATGTACCACTGACTGTTGTCTTTTCTTTCTCTCTCTCTCTCTCTCTCATATCATATCTCTGTCCCCTCTCTGCTTGCTCGCAGTTGTTGTAGTCTCTTCCATTTTAAAGAAAAAGCCCTTTTAGATTAAAGGAGAATAATCTGATAATGTCCACAGATGTAGAAAAAAAATAAAAACAGTTATTAAAATGCAAGACTCATGATAAAAACTCTTAGCAAAAATCAAACTTAAAGGTGAAACATCAACATTCTCATTACAGTCAGCAACTATTCAACACTGTACTAAAGATTCTAATCAGTGCAATGAGACAAAGAAAAGAAAACTGGTATAAGAACTGAAAAGAAAAAAGCTTACACTTATTTGTAGAAAATATCGTATCTACACAGAAAGTCCAAGGAGAACTAATGGTTTAATAAGATGGTTGGATACAAGATCAATATACAAAAATCAAGTAGTAACCAATTTGAAAATGTAATAAAAAGAGATCCCATTCACATGTAACAAAAAGTATAAGATGCCTAGGAATGAATCTAATAAAAAAAATATACAACTCTTGTGCTCAAAATTATAAAACATTACTGAAAGACATAAAAGAAGCCCTGAATAGATTAAAAGACATACCTGGGTTCATGGATAGAAAAAGTCAATGACGATTCTCCTTAATCTTTAAACTCAATATATTTCCGGGACTTCCCTGGTGGCACAGTGGTTAAGAATCTACCTGCCAATGCAGGGGACATGGGTTCAAGCCCTGGTCTGGGAAGATCCCACATGCCGCAGAGCAACTAAGCCCATGTGCCACAACTACTGAGCCTGTGCTCTAGAGCCCACGAGCCACAATTACTGAGCCTGAGTGCTATAACTACTGGAGCCTGCATGCCTAGAACCTGTGCTATGCAACAAGAGAAGCCATTGCAATGAGAAGCCTGCACACCGCAACTAAGAGTAGCCCCTGCTCGCCACAACTAAAGAAAGCCTGTGCACAGCAACGAAGACCCAACACAGCCAAAAATAAATAAATAAATAATAACTTAAGAAAAACCCCAAACAACTCAATATATTTCCAATCAAAATCCCAACTAGGATTTTCAGATAACTTGACTAGCAAAGAAGTTTCATTCATATGAAGAATAAAAGGGAAAGACGCATAAGACAATTCTGAAGAGGGCCAAGATAGGAAATTTTTCCTATATTCTAATAGGATATTATTATGAAGCTTTTGTAATTAAAAGAGTGTGGCTTTAGTGTAGAACTAGACAGACTAATGGGACATATCAGAGAACTCAGAAACAGACTTTCACACGTATGGAAATTTGATCACAAATCTTATAACATCATTCAAATGCAAAATCCCTATTAATTAAATGTAAAAGACACATTTTAAAAGGCTTCAGTATAAGAAAGTGACGGAAACTCTCTTTATGACCTTGAGGTAGAGATAGATTTCTTAAACTTTATAAAAGCATAAACTATTAAAAAAACCCAACATGCTATTATGCTAAAATTTTAAACTTTAATAGAAACACTATAAACAAATTCATAGAAGATAACTGAAACATGTATAATCAACAAATGATTAGTATCCAATACATAAAGAACTCCCAGTAATCAACTGGAAAAGGAAAAACGATCTTATACAAAAACAGGCAAGAAGGTAATTCAGAGGGGTAAAAGATAAACAAAAATAAATGGTGACTACTCCCATGAAAATATGCTTAATCTCATTAATTTAAGAAATGAAATAAAATCTCAATAAGACATTATCTCACACTCATCAAATTGGCAAGGAAGGACTGACAAGGATGTGAAGAAACAGGAACTTGAAAACACTGCTGATGGAGTATAGGTTGATAAAACCACTTTAAGAGAGCCATTCAACAATATCTGGTAATGGTGAAAAAAGTACAACTCTATTTGTAGGTATACAGAGAAACTTAATATACAAGTAAATACATAAAGACCATTCACTGTAACAGTTTATATTAGCAAAAATATAAACAACCTAATTGTCAACTCAATCAGAAAATAATAGATCATAGTATATTCATAATACAGTATAATATAATAGCACTTAAATGAACTAGAGTAACATGTATCAACATGGATAAATCTCAGAAACACAATGTTGAATTAAAAACAGCAAGTTGTGGGACTTCCCTGGCAGTCTAGTGGTAAAGACTTCGAGCTTCCACTGCAGGGGGTGCTGGTTCAATCCCTTGTTGGGGAACTAAGATCCCGCATGCCATGTGGCAGAAAAAAAAAATTAATTAAAAAAAACCAAAACAGTAAGTTGTGAGATTATATTCAGAAGGATACTTTATTTAAAAGAACTGGACGGTAGGTACACAAGTGTTTGTTATGCTATTTTCTATTGTTTTCTGTATGTTTGAAATATTTCATATCTCAAAAAAAAATTTAAGAAAAATAGTTCCTTGTCAACCTCCAGTTCTGTTCACCTGGCTCTCTCCCCTGACTTTACCAAATTCCTGATATAAATTTTCTCTGCTATTCTATTTTCCCTCTTCTAACTTACTCCTCTGACACTACAATCTTGATTCTGAGGCAACCACTAAACACAAATGCTGTCCCCAAGGTCACCAATGATGTCTATGTTCTAAGTCCTACAGATACATTTCTGTCCTATCTTGATATCTCAGTGACTTCTTACACTGCTACCAATTCGCCCAACCCTTCTAAGTGTGGTTCTCCTCTTGCCTTGCGGCCTGTTTCTTCTCAGTCTCTTTTACCGATACCTCTTCCTCTATGATCGCTTAACAATTTGTATTCCTTAGGGTTTGTCCTAGCCCTTCCCTTCTCACTCTTCACTTACTCTAAGTGACTCATCTAATCTTCCTTGTTTATCTAATTTTGTTTTACCTATATTATAAAGACTCTCAAATCTTTATCACCAGCCTGGCCCTGCCTTCCAGATTAGTAAGCCAACTGCTAACCCCAGTTCAGTGAATGCAAATAAACTCATTTTTCTCCTCTGACTCTAGTGCTAGGGTTTTTGATCAATTTCTCATTAAAAACAACAAAAATGTTGAATTAAAAAAAAAAGCCTAGGAGCAATGAAGAACTGATAGTACAGCAGGCTAAAACTGACAAGAAAATGGATATCTATACAGATAGTTAAGTATAAAAGTACCTTCTGGCTGGCAGTACATTTCTCAATCTTGATAAATCTAAACTTTTTATTTTGACAGTCTCATGGGACAGAGGGAAAACAAACCAAAGCCAAGGGTATACATAAGGTAGGAAGGAATCTAACAGAAAACTTTTCACCTAATAAAATGGGACCTCAAAAGGATATATCCTAAGGAAAAAAAAAAAAAAAAGATATATCCTCAGGGTGCAAAAATGCAAAGTTAACTAGTCCTCATAGGTTTTGTAGCTCAGGTTTGCATTACCTGAGTAGTCCAGGGAATATCAACCCTTCAATCTGGAATGAGGTGATCCCAGACAAACTGCACCCCCAGGGCTTGGCAGAAACGAGCACATTTTCTCTGAAAGAAATTACTTTCATCCTAGGATTCAAATTCCTATAAGTAATTCTGCTAAGTACGACACAAAACATGTACACAGAAAATGTTGTACCATGCGTAAGAACCAGCAGAGCAAAGTACCAGACCCACAAAGACTTAAAATACTGCGATTATCAGACAGAGATCATGAAGTAATTGTTTCTTATATTCAAAGAAATAAAAGATAAGTTGAAAATACATGCAGAGAAAACGAAGTTATAAAAAAATTACCTAGCAAATTTGCCAAAGAAACAAGCAGAACTTCTAGAAAAGAAAAATTTAAAACTCAATGGACACATTCAAAAGCTGATCAAATACAGGTGAAGAGAGAATCGTTTAAACAGAAAACAGGTCAGAAGAAATAATCCAGAAGAAAGCCTGAAAAGATAAAAAGACAGAAAATGCAGACAAGAAAGTAAGATGATAAAGTGAGAATCTAATCATATGACAGAGAACTGAATCTGAGTTCAGAAAGATAGGAAAAAATGTGATGGAGCAGTATTTGAGGAGACATAGCTGAGAGTTTCCATAAATGATGTAAGATATCAACAGATTCTGGAAGTTTAACAAATATTAAGCAGGATAACTAAAAAGAAATCCATATTCAACACACCATAATGGAAGAAAGAAAGAATATAAAGTATCCACCCTCCCTCAGGGAAGCCTCTCTCAACATCTAGCAAAACAACAAAGAAAATGTATGTCCTCATTTCTCCCTTCAGTTGCATTCCTGAAAAGTTAACAAGTCCATGAGAACAAAAGGAATCTTTCCAAATCAATCTCTTCATACTATACCTCCATCACTGTTCCCCTCCTCGGTAATAATGTCCAGTAGTCTCTCAAAAGCATTTTCAAAAGCAACAATTTTCTGGATTGCTCCATTGCTTCTTGTTAGTGCCTGTAGTAGTAAGACGCCCTTATGGAGAAGAAAGATAATGTTTAGTGGAATACAACTTTTACAAGACATTTAAAAATTACTTTAAAAACCACTGAGTTTTAGAAGTGGCAGGAATTTCACAAGTCCAACTCCTTCACTTTATAGATAGGGCAAACAAGGACAGAGAAGGTGAGCAATTTACCTCCCTAAGCTATATAAATCTTGAAAGACAGATCCTTCACTGGAACCCATGTCTACCAATTCCTAATTCAGTTCTCTTTTCACCATATGATATAAATATACAACAATTCTTGCATATTCATCAATTCATCAATCATTCATTACCTAGCTTTCACTGTGGTCTAAGCGAGTTGAACATGATTATATTTGTCTCAGTAATGCCTTGGTACATGCTTCGCAATAGTAACAATAAAAAATTGTAAAATCAATAATATAAATCAATAAACATCACCACATTTTAGCAGGGAAAGTTCAGATAGTCTTGTAATTATCTGGCCCGGAAATTCCCAAAACTTGATTCTAAGTTGATAGAAAAAAAGAAGAATGAGAATTCATGCCTCATGAACACCATGTCTAGTATGAGACAATTCTCAGTAGTCTTTGCTTCTGATTTTTAGTTTTCTCAGCTCCTGTTGAGCTAGATTTAGGTTATATATTTTGCAACTTCTTTATTATTCAAGAAATATTCACTGTTAACCATTTCTGCTTATTTCACTATCAAACAACAAGTATTTTATGAGCCCACAGGAGCCCAACAATACCATAATGGTCAAAGAGACAGAAAATATTTAATGAAAAAAACAGGTATTTCTTAGAGGAAGAGGAAGAGCAACTAATAGTTCAAAAGTTCCAAAGAGTCAAAAAAGCCATTGGCTGTCAGTACTGGGAAAATAAGTATTTATATAAGACAAAAAATACCCACAGCCTTACTGGGCTTTTCCTACTCATTTCCCTTACTGTCCAGTCTCAACATTAAGATGAGAGAGAAAGCAAAAGTGGTTATTTTTACATGTCATATTCTCCTACTTAATGTTAACTTGAGTTTAACTGCTGACAAAGGGAGGAATAAATACAGTGGAAAGAACACTAAGGTTAGGAGTTCGATACAGTGGGTTTTTTAAAGGTCTGTTTACTAGCTGTGCAACTTGAAGCAAATTACATAAACTCTGTATGTACTTTATGTAATGTAAGTCTTAGTATACCCATGTGTAAAACAAGGATGGTATCTTTGTCATAGGGTTTTTATGAGGACTAAAGGAGATAAAATAACTCCTACAGAACCTAAGTTCTCAATACATATCAGTTTCTTTTCCCTGACTATTAAGAGACATATTCCTCTAATCAAACACATCCACTAAAATGTTACTAGAAATGAAAGTATACTCATTGGTCATTGAAAGTAAGTGGGCACCAATTCCTTACTTTAAAAACTGGTAATTAAAGGGATTTAGCTATTTATCCTCCCTTTCATCTATGAATTATAATTCAGGGTAATAAAATATACTGGTTGATGAAGTAAAGTTCTTCTTTGAGAAAGATTACAGCCAAATAAATGTGAAAGAATGACAGAATTATAGAAATCATCATTTTGAAACTCTTAACAAAATAAATGAATCAGGCAATGATCATTAATGAATGATCAGATGTAATGGATGAAGGGATCCATGGAGGGATTTGGCTGTCACCACCTGAATCAAACCCACTGATCACTACAAGTGAGACAGCCAGATATTACATTTCCTGATGTGCTGCAAAATTAAGTACACTGCATCATCTAGGAAATATCAAAGCAAACAGGTGAACCAGAACTTAATCAAGCCCTTTAGAAAGTTAACAGACATTAACAATCAAATGTAATGAGAGAGCCTTGTCTGGAAACTGATTTGAAGAAACCAACTGTAAAAGACATTTATGAGACAACTGGGAAACTTGAGTACAGAAATAGTTACCTTATTTAATGACAGCTAAGACAAAGTTGTTATCTCATTAAATGTGATGGCATTGTAGTTATATAAGGAAATACACACACACACACACACACACACACACACACACACACACACACCATGTATACTGAAGTATATAATAGTGTAATTATACAGATTGTTTGATTCCTTTTAAATAATCTAGTCAAAAATAAAGGAGAGTGGTGAGGGGAGGGATGGATGAAGCAAGTATAATAAAATCTTGAAAATTAATGGGTTTAGGGGATGGGTTTGTCTGTATTCTCTCTACTTTCATGTGTGTTTACATTTCTCATAATAAAAAACTAAAAATTAAAGAATGGAATTACAGTTTATCATTTAGAAGTGAGCTGGTAGTTACTTCCTAGAGTTTTCTCAACCTTTCTTGCTAATTTTTAAGCCCTAAGTAACATAAATAAATATGATAGTTCACTGTATCTATGATAAATGACCAACTAATTCTCTAAATCCAGATCAAATTCAATGTTTCAAATATAAAACAAACTGAGGCTAAAAATCTTTACCAACAGGCTCCCAGAGAGGTTAGTCAATGTTAATAACTGTCATTGAATGCAATGAGAAATATTAAAAAGAAGGAAATGAAAAGAGAATTTTAAAAGAAGGATAAAGAAAGAAAAAGATACAAAGGATGCGGGGTGGGGGGCGGAAGCAGTGTATTATTCTGGGCAGTAACAGAGTGCCACTAGTAACTGCCACAGGTGCCAGTTAGTTTCCTCTGGTTGCTGGAGTCAACTGTGGTGTATTACACTGTGTTTTACTGCATAATGTTCGATAGTAAGTCTCCACAAAGAATTTAAATGAATCTGTGAAGCCAAAGGAAAGATGGCTGTAAAACTCCAAAATCTAAACAACACAGCAAAAATATAACTTAATCTCTAATCATAAAAGTAATGAAAGCCAACATGGAGAATCATTTTATCTGTCTCAAATAAAAACTGAGGAAAAAAGGTTAGGAAAAGAAAAAAAAAGAGTAGAGAGTTAAAGGAAAGAGAAGAGCAGAACACCAAATTCAGGTTTAAGATACATACTAATATTTTAGTCAAGAAAAGACACTCAAAATTCCTAATAGATAGGTACACAATTCTTAAAAGAATATTAAAGAATAAAAACTGTCCTCATGAGTTATACTACTATACCATTTCACCACTTATATTACTGCATTGACGTATGTACTACAAATTTTTAAATGCAAAGCTAAAAAAAAAATTGTCTTTGTGGATTAGAAGTCAAGAGCATTTCAGTTTTGTCTCTGCTTTGTCAGGAAACAGTTGTGACTAAAAGCAATCCAAATGGTATTTATTAGCACTTAAGATGAGAAAGGTACAGGGCCAGGTACCACAAACACAAAGATGAATAAGACATCACTAACAAAGAACAAGTCACTTGGTTTCTGTGAGTCTTGGGCTTCTCAGTGTAAATATGGAGACTGAATTAGCTTGATAAGATCCCCTAGCTCTAAATTTTAATTTTAAAGATTTTTCCAGGGGCTCCCCTGGTGGCGCAGTGGTCGAGAGTCCGCCTGCTGATGCAGGGGACACAGGTTTGTGCCCCGGTCCGGGAAGATCCCACATGCCGCGGAGCGGCTGGGCCCGTGAGCCATGGCCGCTGAGCCTGTGCTCCGCAATGGGAGAGGCCACAACAGTGAGAAGCCCGCGTATGGGAAAAAAAAAAAAAAAAAAAAAATTGTCCAATTGCTATCTAAAGTATTATGGTTTTCATCAAGCTGTAGATAACAACAGAAAAGAACGTTCAAGCAACAAAACAATATTCATCAACAGAAAATACTCAAATGTTTATGCAAATATTAAAATAAAGCAGAATAAAAAATTAACTCCAAAGCAAATCACGCTCTATAGTTAAATAGCGATTACAAGGAAAATCCTCTGAAATATGTATTCAATCAACTAAGGGTGATGATTCCAAATATTACACTTTGTTAAGTTTATGCAGTTCAATGTCTAGGGATGTTTCCTCTGCTCTTTCTGGAGGTAGAATTTGGTGTCAGTACAACCTTTCAGAAAAGAATGGAAGAAATCCTAAACTTGTGGAAGGCATAAATTTGAATAGCAAAGTCATTTGTCTAAGCCAAAATACTTAATAGGTTGGAAACAAAGAAAAAATGTGGCCTTGTATATAACTTCAAAAGGTCTAAACCATTACCCCAACTTTCCAAATCTAACTTTTATGACTCTGAATAAGGGTCAACAAAGATTTCATTTGCAAAAAGAGAAAAAAAGCTGCATATTCTTAGACTTTTCTTCAAACTTGACTTACATCATTACGTATAACTTCCCTGGAATCCGCTAATAAGTCCATCAACCTTGAAACACCTAGAAACATATAACCATGTGAAAAACACTGGCAGATCAAAAACACAAATAGTGATTCAAATTATAAACAATTTATTAACACATCATTTCAGTCACCGCCCCCGGAGAAATGATCCTCAATTTTACTTTGTTTATTTTTGTTTTTTATGATCCTCACTTTTAAATCAAAATAATATACGGAAGATGAGTCACTTACCCATAGGACTGACTAAAATAATTTGCTGCACTTGAGGCCCGAGTTGTTTTAAAAGAGAAGTAAGAAGCTTCACACCAGGCCAGCGGACGTGGAAATCAAACTCCTACAATATAGGAATTTAAAATAGTTAACATTTGTAATTCACATTTTCAAGCAAAACTTTTCAACTAGTAGAATGGTACCCAAAACTATAAACAAACAAAAAAGGAGTGTGTCAAACTTTAAAAAATTAACTTAAGAAATAAAAAGCAATAAAAAGAAAAGAGTTAATATAAATTGATCAAACTGATTAAACTGTTGTTGACTAGATATAACAGTACTTTACAAAAATGGAAATAAGAAGCAGACAGTATTCTAAGAGACTACATAGTTCTTAAAACACACATGTGAATCTCTTGTAATGATATTACAAATTTCACTATCTTGAAAAGGTATATAGGGGCTTCCCTGGTGGTGCAGTGGTTAAGAATCCACCTGCCAATGTAGGGGACACAGGTTCAAGCCCTGGTCCAGGAAGATCCCACATGCTGCGGAACAACTAAGCCCATGCGCCACAAGTACTGAGCCTGCACTCTAGAGCCCATGAGCCACAACTACGGAAGCCTGCGTGCCTAGAGCCTGTGCTCTGCAACAAGAAGCCTGTGCACTGCAAGAAAGAATAGCCCCCGCTCGCCGCAACAAGGCTTTCCGCGTGCAGCAACGAAGACCCAGCACACCAAAAATAAATAAATAAATAAATTTATTTTTTAAAAAAAACGTATCTATATATGTTGCTTCCTCAATAACACCCAAAAGGGCAACAAAAGAAGCTTATTAAGATGACAAAAATAGCAAGGTTCTTTACTTACCTCTAATAAAGATAACAGAAGAGTGACATTTTCTTGCTGCTTAATGAAAATTTCTGTAAACTGGCTTCCCAAATCCTCACTCTGTCTTGTGGAGTTTTCTTCTGTAATATTCAAAGATAAAGTATTTGAATATGATGCTTTGTTATTTTAAAGTATCCTTTTTGTTGAAAAAGCTGAGCAGAAATGATAATTTTCTTAGAACAGTGTGCCTGGAAGTGATACCACAATTATGCTAGAAAGACATATCCTTAAAATAACTTTCAAGGTCATTTAAATAAATTTTAATTCTTTAATTGTTTAAATATGATATTCAAACAAAATATATTTAGACTTTCACATTTTCTCAAGGTTATTTTTCGGTTAAACTTCTAACTCGAGTAGAAGGGAATTTATTGGGGTGAGGGAAATATTCTATCTCAAATGTGATAGTGGTTATGCTACATCTGTCCAACACACAGGACTATACAAACCCAAAGAATAAATTTTAATGTATGTAAATTATACCTCAAAAGCCCCTCCCCCCAAACATTACTGAACATATAGTCCTTGCTGACTCTGTTACTATGTTAAATAATTTAATTTTAAAATTAAACCAATCATCTACAGATTTTTCAGTATCTTTTTCAAGCAAATCAACATATATATCTTATAGTTATTTGGCAATAAAACCAGAATTTGCATTTAAGTTTTCACTTATTCTTTAAAAGATTTTATATTTGTCCTTAACACTTAAAAGTCTTTAACCTGGGGCCTCCCTGGTGGTGCAGTGGTTGAGAGTCCGCCTGCCGATGCAGGGGACACGGGTTCATGCCCCGGTCTGGGAGGATCCCACATGCCGCGGAGCGGCTAGGCCCATGAGCCACGGCCGCTGAGCCTGCGCATCCGGGGCCTGTGCTCCGCAACGGGAGAGGCCCCAACAGTGAGAGGCCCGCGTACGGCAAAAAAAAAAAAAAAGTCTTTAAGCTATTTGTTGTTTCAATGTACTTTGTCAAAAAAATGTAAAGGATCACTAAAAACTGAAGCAACAATTGCCAAGGCAAATTATCATTTAAAATCTGCCTACTCTAATAAATACAATTTAGAGATGGCAAATACACTACTCCCCAGCCCCTTACCCATTCCAGACATAGCTAAGCCTTTTCCACATATTGCTCCAGGCAGTGACTATAAACCAAAGGAGTTGGCAGTTAAGATCAAACATATTTATTATCTCTCAAATAGTTCTTTTTTAAATGTGAGATTTTAATATTCTTTAGAAATGGAAAAAACCCAGCAGATGACAAGAAAAGCAAGACAATCTGACAGTGACAGTGATAATCTCATCTAATTATCTGTAGAGAAATGAGAAAAAAGAAGAGACCAAAAGTAGAAAAGAAATATTTTAATATTCTGGGTTATTAATAAAACCTAATTTCTCACATATTGATTAATATGCTAGGTTTATCCTTCAGAAACCCTAAGAAATATTTCTTTTATCATCTCTTGCATCAGTAAAAGAATTCAGTTTCTGAACCTTAAAACTACATTACTTAAACAAAAAATACTTGACTTTTAAAAGGACTAGTCTGGCTGTGCTAAGATGTCAGGGAGAGAGGGAAATAATAAGGAGAGCGATTAGGAGGCAATAATCAAGGTAAGTGGTGAAACTGACTTAGACACTGGTCACAATTCTTATGAAAATAGAAGGAACAAGATTTGTTGGCATATTCCTTACAGGGGTATGAGAAGGGGGGAAAAAAAGGAAAGGTGGTTCTAAGGTTTCAGCCTAAAGAAGTGGAAGGATGGCACTGCCACTTACTGAGATTGGAAACACTGGAAGAAGCAAGTTTAGAGTATAGACAGAATCATAAGTTTAGTTTTGGATGTGTTAAGTTTGAGACACATAAAAATCTGAGTGGAGATATCAATCAAGTAAGCAGTTGGATAAACACAAGCATAGCTGTCAGTGGACAAGTTTGGGTTGGACATATACATTAGAATGATAAACATAAAAATGATATTTAAAGTCACAAGACTGGATGATACAGGGCATCTACAAAAACTTATAGCTAACATCAAACTTAATGGTAAAAGATTGAATGCTTTCCACTTAAGATGAGGAAAGAGGCAAGAATATCTACTTTCACCAACTCTAATCAACATTGTACTGGAGATCTTAGTGCCATAGGGTAGGAAAAAGAATAAAAGGCATACAGACTGGAACGGAAGAAGTAAAACTGTATTTACAGATGACATGTTTGTCTATGTAGAAAATCCTATGGAATCTACAAAAAACTTACTAGACAGTGAATTTAGCAAAGTTAAGTGGAATAAAAGGTCAATATACAAAATTAATTGCATTTCTATATACTGGTGATGAATAATTAGAAATTCAAATTTAAAAAACAGCACCAGTTAAAACAGCATCAAAAAGTATTAAAGACTTAGGGATAAATCTGATAAAAGATGTATAAGACCTATTTACTTTGAAAACTCCAAAATGGTGCTGAGAGAAATTAAAGAAGACTTAAATAATATATATACTGTGTTCTTGTATTAGAAGACACAGCATTGTTAAAATGTCAGTTTGCCCCAAATCAATCTGTAGATTTAACAGAATCCCAATCAAAATCTCAGTAAGTTTTTTCTGTAGAAATTGACAAATTGATTCTAAAATTGATATGGGAGCATAAAGGACCAAAAAGAGCCAAAATAATTTTGAAAAAGAACAAAGTTGGAGGACTTACACTACATAATTTCAAGATATAAAGGTGGGGTAACGAACACATGTCATGTAGGCAAAACAACAGACATAGAGACCAACAGAATAGGAAGTCCAGAAATAGACCCATTGGCTCACAGACCTAATCATGAGAGTTAAAACTATGAAAGTTTTAAAACACAGGAGAAAATCTTAGTGATTTTAGGTTTGGCAAAGGTTTCATAAATAGGAAACAAAAGGTCCAAATTATATAAGAAAAAAAATGATAAACTGGAGTTAATCAAACTTAAAAATTTTGCTCTTCAAAAGACAATGTTAGGAAAATAAAAAGGCATGTCACAGACTGGGAGAAAGTATTTGTGAAATATACATCACAAGGACTTATATCTAAAATATATACAGAACTCTTACAACTCAAGTATAAGAAGACAATCCAGTAAAAAATGAACAAAAGATTTGAATAAACACTTCACCAAAGAATGAAAAGGTATACGGATGGCAAATAATCACATCAAAAATTGTTCAATATAGGGCTTCCCTGGTGGCGCAGTGGTCACGGGTTCGTGCCCCGGTCCGGAAAGATCCCACGTGCCGTGGAGCGGCTGGGCCCGTGAGCCATGGCCGCTGAGCCTGTGCGGCGGAGCCTGTGCTCCGCAACGGGAGAGGCCACAACAGTGAGAGGCCCATGTACCGCAAAAATAAATAAATAAATAAAAAGTTCAATATAATCATTCATTATGAAAATACAAATTAAAACTACCGTGAGATACTATTTCACACCTACTAGAACAGCTAAAATTTAAAAAGACAGACCATATCAAGTATTGGAGAGGATGTGGAGGAACTAGAATTCTCATACACCACCAGTGGGAATGTAAAATGGTACAACTACTTTGGAAAACAGTTTGGCAGTTTCTTATAAAGTTAAATATACACCTACTATCACTTAGCCATTCTATTCCTAGGTATTTACTCAAGAGAAATGAAAATACATGTCCACAAAAAGACTTGTACATAGTACGAAGCTTCAAATGTAACAGCTAAAAACTTGGAAACAAGCCAAATGCCCACCAACAGGGGAATGGATTAACAAACTGTTATATACTCACACAACAAAATATCACTACTACTCAGCAATAAAAAGGACTAACCTATTGATATACACCATGAATGAAACTCAGAATAATTATGCTGGGTGAAAGAAGCCAGACCAAAAAAACCAAAAGAGAGTATATACTGTATGATCTCATTTACATAGAATTCTAGAAAAATGCAAAGTAATCTACAGTAATCACAGATCTATGATTGATGGGGCTAGAAGGAGGAGGAATGGATTACAGACAAGCACAAGGAAACTTGGATATGTTCATTATTTTGGTGGTGGTGGTGATGGTTTCATGGGTTTACACATGTCAAAACTCATGAAATTGTACATCTGTACATTTATTATATTTCAATTATAATTCAATAAAGCTGTGTGTGGGGAAAAGAAATCCAGTTGGAGATATCAAGTAAGTATTTGAATATACAATTATGGACATCAGTGGAGAGGTCTGGGTTGGACACATATATTTGAGAGGCAAGCATACAGACTATATTTGAAGTCACAAGCCTAGATGAGACCACCAAAGGAAAGAATAGAGAAGGAAAGAAATCCGTGCCCTGGAATGTTCCAATGTTAAAAGGCTGGGGAAACGAAAGAAAACAGCAAGGGAGACAAAGAAAAAGTAGCGCCATGAGACAGAAAGAAAATCAGGAGACAGTGGAGACTGAGAAATGAGTGAAAAAGTGTTTCAAAGAGAAAGGAGCAATTAACTGTCAAGTACTATCTCTGAACTTAACATGAAAGAGAAATGAGAAATTGCTAAAAGACAAAAGAGAAATTGCTAACACAGGCAAAAGTAATTTGTTTATGAACAGAATGGCTAGGGTATGGAGTAGTCAAATACTTTCTTGAGAGGCAATACAGTAAAAAGGAAGAAGCTCACAAAGGTTTTTGAGTCAGACCAATTAAGCCCATATTCATCCATTTAGTCACATTACTTTGGGCAAATAGCCCAGATACATCAAGCTTCAGTTTCCTTAATTGTAAAATGCGAACAATTTTCTTTTACACAGGGTTTTCTTTGAGGATTCAAAATAAGTATTGATAAAACATGTAGCCCAGTACTTGGTGAATAATAAGTGCTCAACTAACAACAGCAACATCATCGTCTCTAAAGCAGGATTTCTCAACCTCGGCACTATTGACAATGACATTGTTGTGAGAGACTCCTCCTTATGCATTTTAGGATGTTTAGCAGCATCCCTGGCCTTTACCCACAAGATACCAGTTGCACTCCCTTACGTATCCTCAAGTTGTGACAACCAAAAATATTTCCAGGCGTTAACAAATGTCCT